ATGTCGGTGCGGAGAACGAAGCCTCCACAGGCGGCGCCTCGTCCCCGCTGCCCGAGAGCACCCACGGGCCCTGGCCGGCTTTCCCAGCGCCCTGGGGCGGGCCCCAGGAGCGCCTTCACGTCTGTGTCCGCAGGCCCCGATGTCCCTGCCCCTCCCGCCTGCTCTCTCCTGCACACCCTGCCCGCGCCCGGGGAGGCATTCTCTGGGCTGGGCCCCGTGTCGTGTGACCATTGGTTCTGTGTTGCACCTTGCGGGGGAGTGTCTGTATCCGAGCCAGGAAGCGGCCAGACAGAGAGTCAGCCGACGGCTGCCTGGCAGGCACCCACAGTCCCCCCGGGGCGCAGGAGCAGCCTGCGTTGCTGTCCTGGCTCTCTGCGCCGGCCGGCCGGGGCTGGTCCGCGCTGGGCGCGGCTGGGCTTCGTTCCCCGCTGCCAGCCCGTCCTTCTACCAGGAACGGCGGTGCTCCCATGGCAACGGCGCACGTCCGTGCGGCCCAGCCTGGCTTTGCGAGGGCGAGTCAGTCTCTGCCGGTTTCACATCTGCTAACACCCCGTTGGCAAAGCAGGCACCACAGCCTAGAGCAGAGCCAAGGGCAGGAGAAAGCACCCGCCCACGCGGGAGGGGCTGCAGGCGCTTGTCCGGGGCAGGGGCCGGCCGGAACCGCAGGGTGGGCTGGGGAGCCTTGCCAAGGGGCTTGTGCTTTAAGTGCTGAGATTGGGGTTATTCATGAAAGAGTTTTTTTGTTTGTTTGTTTTTTAAACGAACGAGAAAATTAAGTGCCTGTGGCAGTGCCAGGCGCAGTGCAGGTGCTGGCAGCGCCGCCCCTCGCTGGCGGCAGGCTCCCGCCCCCTGGTTGGCTGCCAGCTGCCTCCTCCGGCAGCCCCCGCAAGGCCGCCCGGCCGGGGCAGTGGGCTTCCTGGCAGGCGATGCCCACGAGAGGTGGGAGTGTGGAGGCGGGTGGGCAGGGGGCCTCCGACCCCAGCGCCTGCAGGACCAAGCCCCAGCCACCTGCGGCGGCCGTCCCAGCAAGGCCGCGGTGTCCGCCGCACTTGCCGTTCGCCGGCTCACACAGGGTGCTGGACAGAGACCACAGCTTCTGAGCGGGGAGTCCCCTCGGCCTCCTGCTCGTCCCTCGTGTTCCCTTTGAGTTTTGCTGCACGCGTGCTTGGGGCCAGGGACCCCGCTGTGCTCCCAGGGCGCCAGGCAGGTGACTCGGGTAGGGGCGTGGCGTCATCAGGGCACTCCTGCTCTGCGGCTGGAGTGGGACCCCAGGACTGCGGTCAGCACGCCGCGCCCTGGGCAGCCTCTCCTGAGGGCGCGGGGTCATCTGGTCAGCGGATGCCCGACACGTGCACCCTTCCCATACTCCTCCCAGCAACTCGGGAGAGGCCAGCCGCCAGCAGCTTTGCCAGGACTTGGCATTGCTCATCTTGTTAAAATTAAATTCCAGCCATTCCAGCAGGGATGGTGTGTTTCCTTTCGGTTTTGTTTTGTATTTCTTCAATTAGCGTTGATGTTGAGTGTTGACCATTCATACGTTTCCTTTTCTGGGGTGTCTGATTCAGCCTTCTGTTCATTTAAAAAAATTGGGTCATTTGTCTTAAGTTGTAAGAGTTTTTAAAATATATTCTGGATACAGGCTCATTGTCATACGTATGTATTATGAATATTTTCTCCTAGTTTGCTTCATTTTTAAAGTGTTTTCCAAGAGCAAACGTTTTAAGTTTTGATAAAGTTTTAAGTTTTGATGAAGCCTGATGTCTTTTGTTGGTGAATCAAAGTTTTTCATTTTAATGTGTCCAATGCCATCAGTCTCTCCCTTTGTGACCCCAAGGTTGTGAGGATTTTCTTCTTTATAGTCTGGAAAAGATATGTCTTATTTTATTTTTTCCATTCTAATCCTCAGTCTATCTGGGATTAGCTTTTGAGTATGTGCTGACGTAGGAGATTAGTTCTTTTTTTTTTATATGGAGGTTCAGTTCTTCCAGCATTTCTTACCAAAAAGACCATCCCTGGCCCATGCCAGGGCGGTGGCATTTTCGTTGTAAATCAGGTGACCATCTAAGGTCTTTCTGGACTCTGTCTTCTGGATTACTTGTCTGTTTAATATTACACGGATAATATCGTAGATTGTAAACCATTCGCTTCCGTTCTTCTCCATGACGGTTTTGGATGTCTGGGCAGGGCACAGCTCCATGGAAGTTTTAGAAGTTCAAAAGCAGGTTGCTGATTTCTACACAAAAAGCCTGCTGTAGCTCTGATTATAACTCCTGGACTCCATCCGGCAATGAACTTCCAGTCCATGAACATGGTATACACCCTCCACGTATAGGTCTTCACTTTTTCTCGGTGGCATTCATCTGCCACGGACAGGTGTGACACCTCTAGTTTCAGGGATTGTGGGATATTTGATTTTTTAATGGGATTGTTAATATTTTTCAAATTTTGTTTTCTAAATTTTTTTGCTAATGTATAGAAATGGAATTGACTTTGTAAATTTTATTTTTAGATTTTACTCATTTATTTTTAGAGAGAGGGGAAGGGAGGGAGAAAAAGAGGGGAACATCCATGTGTGGCTGCCTCTTGCGTGCCCCCTACTTGGGACCTGGGCCGCAACCCAGGCCTGTGCCCTGACTGGGCATCGAACCGGCGACCCTTTGGTTTGCAGGTCTGCGCTCGATCCACTGAGCCGCACCAGCCAGGGCTACAATTGACTTTTATAGCTTCCCCCCACCCCCAATCCTTACCCAAGGACATACTTATTGATCTTAGAGAGAGGGGAAGGGAGGGAGAAAGGGAGGGAGACAAATATCAACTCGGTGCCTCTCGTACACACCCTGCCCTGGGGCCGAACCTGCAACCCAGGCCTGCGCCCTGGCTGGGCATCAGACTCGCGACCTCTTGGTTTGCAGACCTGCGCTCCAACCAGCTGAGCCGCACCGGCCAGGGACAGTTGGTTTTTACACATCAGCTTTGTGTTCAGCAATTTTGGTAAGTTTTCTGTTTTATTTCTAATAGTGGAGTGTAGAGTCTCTCAACTTTTCGACACGTCTAACCGTTAGCTTGTGATGCTGGTTTTCTTTCCTTTCCTATTTTCGTACCTCTGTGTTTTTGTCTTGCCGCACGGAAGGGGCTAGGACCCGCAGTGTAACGGTAACTAGAGGTGGTAATGCACAGCCCTCTTGTTTTGTTCCTCTTCTCCAGGGGGAGTGTGTAATATTCACCCCCCGCACTGTTTGCCTGGTGAACAGGGAGTTAGAAGAAGGGGGTTATTTTCCGGACATCTGAGCAAAATTCTCCAAGGAAGGAATTTGCTCAATTGGGAACCCGCCCCAAGTCATTGCCTCGGTAACAGCCATCTTTACGGTCCCTTGCCTTTGTCGTTCGGGGCGTCTCCCTCATTTCTCAGGCCACACAGTGTCGTGTGCTCACGTCGTTAGCCCATCGCTGTTCAGATGAGACTTCTGTTTGTGGGAAGAGGCGTGCGGCCTGGCCTCCCCCGGGGGGACACCCCGGGCAGCCGCTCCTTCCTTGCCACACGGACAGGCGGGCGGGTGGGCGGCCTGCGTCCCGCGTCCCCTCTGCATCCCCTCCCGTTTGCAGGGGAGCTGCGGCCCATCCCCCGGGCCCGGCAGAAAGACTGAGAGGTGGGGAGGTCCAGCAGGAGCTAACGTCTTACGCCGACAGGAACACTCCAGCCGTGGAAGTGTTCACGTGCAGGGTTGCGCCGCCGAGTCTTTTCCCTCCAGCCACGCCCCGTGTTGCTCAGCCCCGCGGTCAGGGCGCCCTGGCTGAACCCCGGCTCCCTCCTTACCCTTCGCTCCTGGGCGGCCTGGGTGGGAAGGCAGCCCCGGTGAGGCTGGGCGGGTGCTGGGGTGCTCGCCGCCCTATCTCTGGGCAGATCCGTCGGTGTTTTGATTGACAGGCCATTGTGGCCCATCAGAAGTGGGATGTTTCACATGCACTGCAAGGCCCTGTGTTTTTCTCCTGCTTTACGCCTGGGAAACACCGCGGCCGCGGCGCCCTTCCGCTTCCTCCAGCGCCCCTCTTCTCCGCGTGGCACCGCCGTGGGTCTGGCGCCGACCCATTTGCGGTTTTGCCACCACGCGTTCATGGCGTCTTCAGAGGGCGAAGGCGTGGCGTCTGGCGTCGCTGTGACACAGGAAGCAAAGGGAGGCAGACTTCATGACTACATTTTTTATCAGAGGCGCTAAATCTGGTTTCTTTTGTCTGTCTTGTCCTGTTGAATATTTTCTCGCGGGCAGAGACCACAAGTCTGGTGCAGCCCAGGACAGAAGCGAGCCCGCCTTCCGTCCCCGTGTCCCCACGGCGGCGCCCGGGGCGCCCCGACATGGCGCGGGGCCTGCAGCGTCTCCGAGAGCAGGGGCGCGGGGCCGGGGCGGGGGTTCTGAGCGGGAGCGCGGGGACGCGTGGTGTGCAGGTGCCGCGCCCACGGGGCCGGCGGGGCGTAGCCAGCATCGCCGTGGGGCCCAGCAGACAGCTCCGCGTGGGCTTCGTCCTGGACGTTGCTGGTCCCCCGCGCTCTGCCCGGCGGGCGGGCCTCGTAGCACCAGCGGCGCGCGGCGCGGGCGGGGCCCTTTCTGGGCGCCCCGTGCCTGTGTGACACGCGCTCCTGAGGCTGTGAGCGCGGGTCCGTCCCATGCCCACCTTCGGCTGCCCGAGCCCCCTTCCTGGGGGTTGTGTGCTCCGCCCCCCAGCGTCGCCCTATCTCTTGAGGAAGAACAGTTGTTCGGGAGGAACGGAAGGAAATCGATTTTGAGGAAACTAAATTTTTTCTGAAACAGAATGACAACTTTCAAACCAGGAAGGAGTGGCTGAGTGGGAGCTGGGCCCTCCTGTGTGCCGGCTCGGGGTCCCTGCGGGTCCCTGCGGGTCCCTTGTCCGGCCGCCGCGCGGGGAGCGCGGGGCGCCGGGGTGGCGGGCGGGCCGGCCGGGGGTGGAGTGTGGCCGCCGCCCTGCTGACGCCCCTCTGTGCTCAGCTGCAGACGGCCGCGTCCTGCGGTGCGCCGCGGTGTGGAGGATGCCCGAGGAGTCGGAGCCCGGCGGCCACGAGTCCCCCGACGATTCTGCGAGCACCGCGCACGCCCTGGAGCTGCTCTGCGACCTCGACCACTCGGCGCAGGGGAGCACGGCCTGGTAGGTTCTGCGCATCCGCCCTGCAGAGCGGCTGTGGGTGAGACCGCGGGCCGCGCTCGCCCACCTCCCCTTTCTGAAAGAGATGCCACCGGTTGCTCGCTTTCTTCTTTTAGCCCCGGCTGTTTCCCGGGTCGGACGCATCTAGGGAAGCTGCCGCGCACACAGGCAGAGCTGCGCCCGGCGTCCTCCTCTCTCAGGCCCCGGCCGGGGTGCTGGCTGCAGGCGCTGCGCGCGCTGGGGCGCCCTGCCCGGTCACTCGCGGGCGCGCCTGGACCTGGCCGCCGGCGTTTGCGTGGGTGTCGCCGCGGGTGGAGGGCGGGCGCGCTACGCGCGGGCTCTGAACCCGGGCCCTGGGCATCGCCGCCCTCGCGTGCGTTTCCCCGCCTGTCGCCCGCAGCACCGGGGCCGCTGCTTAGGGCCCCCGGGCCCTTCCCCGGGGACGACAGCGGTTTGCGGTCCCCACCGAGGTCTCAGGGATCCCTCCGCAAGAACGCGCCACTCCCTACGGGGTCTCGGAGCCTCAGCCGATTCAGGGGGCTGCGCTTCTAGGAGGGACGGTGGCAGCGTGATGTTGTCATATGTTCACAGGCACAAAGGCCGTCGTCGTCCTGTGACAGCGACACTCCCCATGTGTGTGCCAGAGGGAGAGAGGGCGAGAGGGCTGCCGCCTCGGTACAGTCAGTGCTGCCCAGCCGGGTCTGCCAGTGAAACACACTGAACCCAGCAGGTGTTTATTAAGCACCTGCTGCACGCGCCTGCCAGGCCCTCGAGGCCAAGGCGAGGGCTCCGGTGACACGGCCACGCTGTGAGCGTCGCGCTCTGACGCAGGGCGGGCCGGGGCCTCCACGCAGTCGTCGCGTGGGCTGCGTGTGCCTCGGGCCCCGGCGGGGGGAGGGGCTGCGCTTTCCCCGTGGGGCTGCCAGGGGCGTCACCCAGGAGGCGGCCCTGTCAGTTGTCAGCCTTGAAGCTGCGAAGGGGGCGGAGGGGTAGGTTCCCGTGGTTCCAGCAAGTGTATCTCGGGGCGGCCCTCCTTACGGAGGGCCCGGAGCAGGCCCGCAGTGGGAGGGGGTGCAGAGGGGGCGCGGGGGGCGCTTGGGCGGGCCGAGTGCAGAGCCCACCTCTGCGAAGGACACGGTGCGGGAGGAGGTCCGCGTTTCCCCCGCGCATCTGTGTGCATGCGTGTGTGTGCATGCGCACTCCAGGCGCCCTGGCAGGGGGCGGGTGTGTAGGACGCGGTGCGGGCCTCAGCCCCCTGGGGGCTGCCTTGGAGAGTGTGGAGACGGGTGGGCTCGGGGGAGGGGTCTTGCCTGCCCGGGGACCAGGAGCTGAGGGAGGGCCCTGGGCGGCTTCCCCAGGGCCCCACGGAGGCCCTGCTGCCCCAGCCACCCTGCCGTCGGACGCGCCTGTCCACAGGCGCGTCCCAAGGAAGGGAGCGTCCGGGCGAACCGCCGAGGCTGGGCCGCAGGCCTGAGGTCGCCCCCTGGGGAGGGCGCGAGCTGGGAGCCCTTGCCAGCCTCTGACCCCCCGATCCTCCCAGGGGCGGCTGCTGTGCAGCTGCTGCCATTGCTCCGTGTTTCTCAGGCTCCTCTTGCCGCCCGGGCGGCTGTGCTTCCTGCGCTTGCGCCTTGAGGTAGCGCAGGCCCACACGCAGAGCAGGACAGCGCTGAGGCCCCAGGGCCCCGGGGTCCCCCCGGCGCGGCAGTGGAGGCCGTGGTCCAGAGGCCCGGCCGCACGCTGCTCATGTGCGCGCCCGGCGCTCAGTGCGCCGCGTCGCTGTCAGTCCCTGCGGCCGCACCGTGGTCCCGGCCCAGAGCCACAGCCCCGTCTCGCCGTGCCCAGCTCCATGCCTGGCAGCCGCGAGTCGCCCCCCCCGGGGAACTCGGCTCTTCCAGAACGCCCTAAAAACGGAAACCCGCACAGAGCGACCTGTGGCAGCGGCTTTCCTCACGTGCTGTCACTCCCTGGAGGCTCGCTCAGTTGCTGTGATCCGTGGCTCCGCCCTGCCCGTTGCGCGCAGTGTCCTCTGCAGGGGGACAGCAGTGCATGTGGCCTACTCTGCTGGGGGCGGCAGTGGGTCCAGCTGCTCTGAGCGGGGAGCTGCAGGGTTCCCCACGAACCTCGGTGTCCCTTTCTCGGGCTGCTCTTGCTGGGCGTGGGACAGCGTGCTCGCTGTGTGGTGCCGCCGCGTCCCCCCGTGGGGTGAGGGCCCGGCTCCTCTGTGTGGCTGTGCCACGCGTGTTCCTTTGGCACCTTCGGTGGAGTCGCGGCTTTATTATTCGGTGAGGAGTTTGCGTTTGGGGATTGGAGTCTGTGAAGGATGCTCTTTGGGGTCAGACACAGGGCGGCCGGCGGCCATGTGTGTGCTTGCTCTCCTTGTTGGCTCGTGACCTGGCACGGAGGCTGTCCCAGGAGAGGGACTCCCAGGCGTGTCCTGGACACCAGCTGCTGCTGGCCGTGGGGCGCGCCCAGGAAAGCGCGTGACCGCACTCCTTCGGGAGCTGCGGCAGGCAGGGCGGGGCCGTCCTTGGGGCCGCTGCGCTCCGGCGTGATCGGGAGCAGCCAGGAGCCTGTCGCTGTCCCCCGGGTCTGCCTCAGCCTGCGGCCCGCAGGGGCAGGGGCGCCCAGTCGGCCAGCCCTCTAGCGCCATGGCTCCAGGCGTGAGACAGGGGGCAGGAGGGAGGCTGCAGCGGGCCTGTGACTCACGGGCTGGGTTCAGGCTGCGCGGGCGCGCCCCAGAGCCCCCGGCCCGTGGAGGCTGATGGGGTGCGGGCCGGGGAGCCCCGCCCGCTCTCTTCTGCCCTCTTGCCCTCAGGCGGTCGGGGGTCCCTGGAGAGTCTCCCGTGTCCCTAGGTCGGGAGGTCGCATTTCAGCTGGTGCGGTGGCTCTGTGGCCAGCGCACCGGCCGCACGGTTTGCTCGGGCGCGTAGTAAGTCAGGCAGTGGAGGGCGGGTGCACCTGCCCCCCGTCCCGTCTGGGCCACGTGTCCTCCGTCCGGCTCTGGAGGCAGGTCCTGAGCCGAGCCCCGAGAGGCCACCTTATAACTCGCAGCTCTGCGCTCCTGGAGATTAAAGAGCCGCCGGCTTCCTGGCCCGGCGTCACCTTCGCGGGACGTCCTCCTGGACCCCTGCACCCCGCCCAGGCCTCTGTCGTCCCCCCAGTGTTGTCCCCCGTCACGGCGCCGGCCACCGGCCGGCCCCCCGCCCGCACGCCCATGCTCCTGCCTCTGCAGGGCTGTGTCGTGAGCGCCCAGGACAGAGCCCGGCGCCCGTGGCGCCCTGCGCACGGCGCGAGGAGAGGGCGGCCGGCAGCCCGGACTGCGCCTGGGCCTGTCCCGAGGGCTCGCGCTGTCCCCGCGGGGACGCCTCCCTTGGCAGAAACGCGTCGCCCCTCCCTGCCCCGCAGGGTCCGCCGGCGCTGGCCTGGGGGGGGGGCCGGGGCCGCCCTCACGTCTGAACCGGCGTGCGCCGTCCCTTTGGCGCGTCTGTGTGCGCGTCCTTGCTCCGCAGGTGCGACACGGTGACCACAGGGCCTCTGAAGCTCTTTCTGGTCAGCATGAGACCTGCCAGATGAGAGCCTCGTTCTTGCCGTTGCGGGCCTTGTTGGGAGTTTAGGTTTTTCACCTGGGCTTGTTTCCAGAAGCAGCCCCTTTCTTGTGTTTCTCCGGGTGACTATGAAGGGGTGTAGCACGCTTACGTGAGGCGTGTGCTGCTTGGTATATGTGCCCCTAACGTGTTAAGGTCATGTTAGCTCTTTTCAAATTCACTGGCAGAATGAGATAAAGCAGCAAAATGGGCGACTTTTATGAACCAAGAAATAAATAGCGTCGAGGAGCAGATGCAGCAGAAATCTAGGTTATTTTCTTGTGTTTACAGCGTGAGTTCCGCGGCGATGACCCGTGACGAGGCAGCATTTCTCTTTTCGCCGCACGCCACGCACTCCGGATGTCGGGGGCAGTGCCGCACACCCGACAGCGACCTGGCCACGGCGACCTCAGCGTGTCAGCCGCAGGCGGAGGGCAGCGCGCGCGGTGACGGCGCCCGCCCCGGGGGCAGCGCCCCACCGCGGGGCCGGGCCGGCCTGGGGCGCGTGTGCAGCGGCCCGGGGTGACGCCGCCGCCGGAGCGCTTCGCTGGAGGGGGCCGGCGGTGCTGGTCCGGAGCGGGGCCCTGCACGCCCTCGTGGGGAGAGGCGCCTGCGCGGGAGCACGTTCCAGGGCAAGGGGGAGAGGGCGTGGGAGAGGGGGCCGAGCTGGGAGGCCAGGCGCGGTCAGTTGACACGCAGGAGCGCGCCCTGGGTGGGGTGCGTGGTACGGCCGGCCTGCGATCGGTGCCGGGACCGCGGTCAGGCTGACGGGCCAGCACGGCAGGGCGCGCGGCCACCGCCACGACCGAGGGGGCGGCTCAGGTTTTCCGTGGGCAGATCTTCTGGCCCGTCCCGCGTGGAGCGTCCAGCAGACGTGCCCCAACGCTGGCGCCGCTTCTGAGGACGCTGCACTGCAGGTGGCCCGCGGGCGCCGGCTGCGTCCCCCCTTGGCGCTTGGCCCCGGCTTGCTGGCCACCGCATGCGCGCGTGGCTCAGGACGAGGCGCGCGACGGCGGCAGAGATGGCGGTGTCCCTCTCACTCGCCCTCCTCTTGACCAACGTGTTTGGGAGCTCGGGCTAAAGCCCGTCCCCCTCCCGGGGCTTGCCTGGGTCTTTGCCACTCGGCCACCGTGGTGCCCCGGGGCGGGAAGAGGCCACCTGCTCCTGCCAGCCCCTCCGGCCGGCGTCCGCTCACACTCAGCTGTGGCAGATGCAGACCCCAGCAGAAAAGGCCACCGTCTTAGGGCAGTTGCCCGCGGGGCCCTCAAGGAACGCGACCGCCCTGGGTGCTGGGACAGCATGTGACCAGCCGGCGGGGCGAATTGTGCGTTCAGTGCCCTCCTGACAAAGGCAGAAACCGCGATGAGCTTCACAGGGCGTTCCCGGCAGAACGGTCCAACGCCCACGAGGCCGATGTCT